AATTGAATTAATGATAATAAATATGAACTAATTAATACTAATTAATATTAATGTTGAAGTAATTCTGGGAAATAGTGGCTCTCAGTTTCTTTGGATGCCTGGAGCTAATCACCAATGCCAGGAAGCACAGGCAATACATCAAAGCAAATTAGCGTCCAACAAACTGAATATTGCCAAACAGAGTCTAAACACAACCTGAGCACATATACTTTAAAGTGTAACGTCAGCCTTCAGCGATAGAAGAATCCCTGTTGTGCTTGGGGTTCCATCTCTGTGCTACCCTCTCTTTATCCTGGCACAATTCCAGCCTCCCTCCTCCTTCAAGAGCTGTGTGTAGTCTTAGGAGAGGTTGACAAAAGCCGTGTTGTCCCCCACTTCTATTTTATTCTCTTCGTGGCAGCCTCCTCTAGCCTCTGCGATCTCCTGCGGGAACCACTCCAAGAATCTCTTGACAATTCTCTGACTCCATTTCATCCCTCCCTTCTGCCAAAAACAGAGTTTCCGTCCTGTGATTCCACCTTGCCTGGTGAATCAACACATTGAGCAGAAATTCAAGGGCAGGTGCTCGTAAATGCAAGCGCTGATTTTCAGTCCAGCTGTTTCTAATGTGAGTAATATAGGGAGATCCAGGGCAATTAGAAGCAGGATTTTCTCTATTTAAAAACATTTAGTGATTCTCCCGAGCAACCATGGGTGGGCCAATGTTGACTGATATGTTCTCATTTCAGCCACACTGTCCTTATGGTCAATAGGAGTAGAGATTATATATCTTTTACCTCTTTTGGATCCTCCACTTCATTTATTGTAAAGCTGAGCACTGAGTAGGTAGTTTATAAATTCTTATTGACACGGCGCAGACATGACGGCCAAGGAAATCCGCTAATGCTGTACCCTGCAAGTGGCAGTCCCTGCGCTTGGAGACCCGTGAGAGGACCCCTCCTACCACCAGATATGTGGTGAGGATCTTTCTGGGAAGAGTGAAGAGATTTATAGGGGCCTGAGGATGGCAAACTCTAGAATTTCAGACTTTGGACTCAAATCATCCACCCATTAAGCCAGCGTCCTGTGTCCCTGGTACAGTATGTCTGCTTCGATCCACAATCAGCCCATGGACACTTAGTGAGTGTTTGCTATGTGCCAGCCCCTGGTTGGTAAAGTGGATCGGAAGATGAACCAGGGGCAGTCCCTGCCCTCAGGTAATCCAAATCTGCTGAAATTGTGATACAAAAGCTGTGACAATCTAATAATTGCCTTACAGAACGTGGATTTGCCCAGGGGGCTTCCCGGTTGCAAAGGGGAACAGAGGAAAGCTTCCAAAGAGAGAAAACTTTTGAATTGGGCTTTGAAGCACAAGAGCAAACCAAGGTAGACTTGAAGGAAGAGCCCTGGAGGCAGGGGGAATCCGTGCAAAAGCACAGAGGCGTGAGGAGCGAGGTGCGTATAGAGGAAGACACATTCCCCCATGGGCGGAGCCTATGAGGGGCGGAGCCTATGAGGACCGGAGTAGGGGCCTGGCTTCAGCACAGAGTGCCTGGCAGGACGCGGGCTGTGGAATAGACTGCGGTGGGGCAGAAGGCGGGGGGATGCGGAGAGAGACGCCCTCCTCTCCCGGCCCTTCCTTTCATGTCGTTTCCCTGCAGCCCAGGTGGCTGGGTCTCTCCCGCCGTGATGTGAGTCACGGCCTGTCTTCTCTGACCAGGCCTGAGAGCGACCTGATGGAGGTGAGCACTATTCCTAACGCATTCCTCTGGACCAAGTGCCAACAATGACTAACAGATGAGGCCAGGCCCGCTGTGTCATCAGCTGGCAGAGGTGCGATCAACTCCCTGACCTTGCCTGCAGACAGATTCCTGCCTCAGGAAACGGGACAGCATACTGCGGGGGCGGGACACAAAGAGGAAAAACAGAGGGAAAAAAACTGCAAGAGACTTCCCAGACAGGGAGCGGCTGTGCAAAGCCCCCAAGGTTTTCCTCAAACGTTCCAGAACAGCTATGAAGAAAACAGGCTTAGTTACCTCTCGTGTCCCCTCGGCAGGACCCTCAGCAGGAATGTGAGGAAAAAGCAAAAAGGCCGGAGGAGAGCTCGCCCAAAGCTCGTAGCTCACTGAGGCTTTTTCCTCTTCTCAGTGAAACTGGAAATGCGTGGGGAACACGAGACTAGCCTGACGGGAACAGAAGGAGGAACAGAGCGCTTGCTCCTGCTGGGAGGGTCTGCCTTGCCGCCTGCTGCCCTGTTCCTTCTCCTCCCAGAGCCCGGGTACAGAGAGGGGGCCGCCCCCAGCAGGGAAGGTGGCTAGAGGGTGGGGCGCCCTGACGTCGCTCTCAGCGCCGCGCCTGGGATGAGGTTTCTCTTCGCCAGCTGGGCGCGTCTGGCAGCCGCAAACAGGCCAGGCGCCTGGGAGCTTCCCGTGGCGCTCAGTTGCCATGGAGCATGAAGACAGAGCAGGTGCCTGGAGGTGGCTCCCCAGCAAAGACTGACATTCTTGTGCCCGAAGATCTTGCATCTGGGCAGCCAGCCCATTAGGGGACCTGAGAGACCTCTTGTCTCATTGAAAGGAACATGAAAGGTTGACAGAATCATTGCATTACATCCTCACACCCCTGGGGTGCTGTCTACTTTGCCAACACAGTGAACTGCCTACCATTTGGTTCAAGTTCAACCACCACTCAAGCTTTGTGACTTAAGACCACAAAAGTTGGAGCCGTTCCTCCTGGGAAAAGGGCACCGTGGCTTTGGCGTGGTGAGTCTGTGTACTTGGGGAGCACGTGGGAAGGGGCTAGTGGCTTCTTCAGTTCATTCAGTACTAAGAGGCTTTCAAGTGTTTTTTTCCTCAGTGGACCTTACCTGCTGAGCAACGAGCAGTGTTTCTGCTGCTGATCTGTTTGAGAGGTGGAGTGGAGGTTTACTTTGGCCTTTTGCTGGAGAGCATGTTGAGAGCAGAGACCAGCATTCCTCATCTGGAGTCTTTCTTACCCGGGAGACTGGCACCCGTCTGTCCTCATCTGGAGTCTTTCTTACCCGGGAGACTGGCACCCGTCTGTTTGCACAATACAGTTTTAGACTCCGAGTCACCTTACGTTGTCTTCTTGGTATCACTTTGCATTAAACTCAGCAGCGTTCTAGTACCTTGGCTTCTCCTTTCAGGAAGCAGAGAGGCCTGGGCAGATGAAAGGGTTGCGTATATTAGGTGCCCACTCATCTGGGACAGCCAGGTTTTGGTAACAGTGTTTTATCACCTCCAGCCCTACAAAACTCGCACCAGGCTGCCCTAGGCAAAATGGTGAAACATGTCCAGTTCATCCAGGACTTTTCTCCCATCTCTCCTTATGTCAACACTAGCCAGCATATCCTTCCATTCCCACCAGACAGAGCTTCATACGGTAAGTGTGTGTTGACATTTATTTGGCCAAGCAGTGTGTGCCAGGCTCTGGTCTAGGCCCTGGAGGCGTGGCAGTGAACAGAACAGACAAGGCTCCTCCCTCATGGAGGGGTTGAAAGCTGCCATGATATTTGCTATATACATTTTTCTTTATACTTTGTACAGACACAAGGACAAAATGAACATCAATCAAGTGTCCTCTTAAATAGAAAAATAAGTTACAAAGGGGAAACTGGCAATGGAAGCCTGGGCCGTGGGGAGGGAGTGGGCAGGGGCTTCTCAGAGCAGCTGGTTGGTCTCTGAGCCTTAGTGACCACTGCCACGTGCCCCCCCTCCCCCAGTCTGCCGGCCACAGCTTTCTTCCCTGCCGCCTGCCTTTCATGTCATTGGTCGGCTCTGTCATTTCTAATCAGGGTGGGATTAGGTCAAAGGTGAGAACCAATCCCTGCTCTATTTAAAACTGAATGATAGATATATACACTACTATGTATAAAATAGATAACTAATGAGACCCTACTGTATAGCACAGGGAACTCTACTCAGTGCTCTGTGGTGACCTAAATGGGAAGGAAATCCAAAAAAGAGGGGATATATGTATACGTACAGCTGATTCACTTTGCTGTACAGCAGAAACTAATGCAACATTGTAAAGCAGCTATACTCCAATAAAAATTGATTTAAAAAATAAATTTTTAAAAACTTGAATGATAGAGGACAGGCAGAGGGCTGGCAGTATAGCCACTTACAATTATCTAAACAACAACGACGTACTCTCCCAACTCCAGACTTACATTTATAATGTTCTCTTTATGGGAACTACTCCATAGTGATACCTGATGAAGTCTGATCTTTTCAAGGCCCTCCTCCAATCCCTAATTTTCCCCAGATTAACCCTCCCCCAAATATGAGTTAATCTTCCCCTAGGCTCACACGACATGTTTCTAGTCCTTCTTAACAACAATTCCCACACTGGGTCTGCGCTGCAATTTTCTCTGTGTGTCTTTTTCTTCCCATTGAACTGGGAACTCCTGGGGTAACAGGCAGGTGTTGTCACCTCTGTATAGCTTATAGTACATGGCACGTGACAGAAGCGCTTCACAAATGGACCACTCTTTGCAGACAGACCTGCATTCAAATTCTGACTCTGTTACTAACAAGGTGAACTCAGACTAGTTGATTAACCACCCTGAGCCTCAGTTTCCTCCACTGAAAAATGGAGATAACGATTACCTCAAAGGAGTCTAAAGACAGTACCAGGAATGTGGTGGTTATGCTGTACTGTCTGACACGTGTTATAATGATGATGGTGGATAAAGATGTAACATCCTCAACTTCTGTGTATGAGCAACATAATAAAACTGACGCCACCGGAAAACAACTATTCCGTAAGCATTTCCAGAGTCTCTCTCACACCTGCCGTGCTAGAGATGCTTTAGTTGGTGGCTGGAATTTCTCTAATAGAAAGGAAGGTTGGCAGTGCTGCAGGAGTAGACAGATGAATCATAATGTTTGGAGATGTCTTCAGTGAAAGTAAAAAAAGAGCAGCTGAAAAGATACATAAAAGAGCTTCACTGTGTCCTTTTATCAACCACGCAAAAAGGAATATAATAAAATCTCCCCCCCTGCAAAAAAAAAAAAGATAACTTTTTGATCATCAGTATTTCTGTGGAATCTTCTGTTTGTTAACATTCCAACTTAGACCAAATCTAGAGCCATCTTAATGGAAATCCCCCCCACTTTTTCTTGCCAATTTATTTGCTCCCTGGAGCTCATGTCCACGGAGAGAGATTCTACTACATGGGAGTAATTGAAGCATATTTTGGAAGCGCAGACCTTTCTGATAACATCGTGTAAAAGCTGTGCCTCTACTTGGAATGCACGCTGGGAAGAAAGCTGGGTAACAACAGCAGTAGCAGTTGAAAACCAGGACCATTTCTTTGAGATGCGGCCTCTAAGGTAAATCACACTGTATTTCTTCTCCCCACTCAACTTTCGAACACAGGCAAAACTGATTTAAAATAAAGATGGCACTTAAACTAAAAAGAGGTCACGAGAGGGCAGGGAGACAGAGTGAGAAGGAAGGGCCATCACTGATTCTTAGGGACCTCAGTGAGGGAGAATGGTGGTGACGCTAGGATATTTTAACAGAAAAACCACCGGACTCCGAATCCAAAGATCCAGATGTGAGTTCTGGTTCCTTCACTTGAGAGAGCTGAGAGAACTTCAGATACTGACTCATCTCTCAGGACCTCTGTTCCTCATCTCTAAAGTGGAGATAAAAGTACATCACCGACTTCACAGGGATGCGGGGGAACTGAGTGAGATAGGAAACAAAAGCACCTTGTAAATGCAACAGCCCCATTCATTTTTTTTTTTAATTTACTTATTTATTTTTGGCTGTGTTGGGTCTTCGTTGACGTGCGCGCTTTCTCTAGATGAGGCAAGCAGGGACTACTCTTTGTTGCGGTGCGCGGGCTTCTCATTGCGGTGGCTTCTCTTGTTGCAGAGCATGGGCTCTAGGCGCGTTGGCTTCAGTAGTTGTGGCACGTGGGCTCAGTAGTTGTGGCTCACGGACTCTAGAGTGCAGGCTCAGTAGTTGTGGTGCATGGGCTTAGTTGCTCCGCGGCATGTGGGACCTTCCCCGACGAGGGATTGAACCCGTGTCCCCTGCTTTGGCAGGCGGATTCTTAACCACTGTGCCACCAGTGAAGTCCCAGCCCCATTCATTTTAAAGCAATCGTTTTAAACCCAATTGATTTTGTAAAGTGTGTAATAAGAGGAGCAAAATAGATCAAAATACTAACAATGGTTACTATTTCATAATGTTGTGTTTGGGGCAACAATTTTGTTTGTATTTTTATTTATACTTCTGTTTGTACCTCATTATCTTGCCAACCTTTCCACAATGAGCATGCATTACATTTGCAATCAAGAAAGTTACGTTAACGAGTTAATATATGTGTGGCTTAGAGACACACACCATGTAATGAAAGTATAAAGGAATGTGGGAGAATGTTACACACTGACTTCAGGATAAGGTTACCATTGGGATAAGAAAGGAGATGGGATGGAGAAGAATGTGTGAAGGCTCCAACTGTATTGGTAAAGATCAAATTCTTAAGTAGGGACTCCCCTGGTGGTCCAGAGGTAAAGAATACGCCTTCCAATGCAGGGGATGAGGGTTCAATCCCTGGTCCGGGAACTAAGATCCCATGTGCCACGGGGCAACTAGGCCCGTATGCCACAACTATTGAGCTTACGTGCGTCAACTAGAGAGCCTGTTTGCCACAAACTACAGAGCCCACTCACTCTGGAGCCCGTACGCCACAACTAGAGAGAGGAAACCGGCATGGCACAACTAGAGAGAAGCCCGAGTAGACCGCGGGCCGTAATGAAAAAGATCTCGTGTGCCGCAGCTAAGACCTGACGCAGCCAAAAAATATAAGGAAAATAAATTAATTAAATAAATAAGGTTTTTTTTTTAAAAAGCCATTAGAGTTTTAAAAAAATTCTTGAGTAGAGTCCTGGGTACGCAAGTATTGTTTTAATGATTTCTGTATTGTATGTGTTTTAAATATTTCATTATAATTTTTAAAACAAAGTATCAGTGCTGGGTACAAAGCATTATGTGCAAGGATGCTTATTAATTTGCAACAATCAAAATATTTTAAACTGTCTAACAATAGAAAATTGGTTAAATAAATTTTGGCACAGTAAAAAAAAAAAGGAAGATAATATTGTTAATATTATTATGATTGTCCTATGAACCTTAAGTCACCTCGTTTCACTGAGCTAGCCACTGCCTCTACCATTGAGAGTGGAGGATGACAGAAAATTGGCACCTAATTGAAAATTTGATTCCTCCGACTTCATTTTCTCCAGTACTTTATTAAGCCCATTATCGGTCTAAATGTATCCACTTAGGTGAGTATTCCTAAGGATTTAGAAATGTTCAGTCAGTACTGTGCATCATCCCACACATATAAGAATATTAAATACTTAAACAAGGAGACATGAAGAAGGAAAAATCTGAAAGGCCCAAGCGAGGCCACCTACTATCAGGACCTACAACAGTTAGCCTTTATTAACACACTTGCCTCTTTACTTTCCAGGTGAGAAGGCTTGATTGAGGTTGACTTTTTGTCTTCTACCTCTTATCAAGTTGTTAAACTAAGGGAACATTTTCTCACTTATTTCATTAGCCTCTACGACAGATATTAAATAGTAATGGACCTTGCCAAGGATTTGACATTTCCGTCCACCTGCTTCTGCACATTCTATCTAAGAATTCTAAGAAATGTAGCTTTCAAATCAGTGACTAAAGACAACTGGCTTTATGCTCTGTTCTCGGGTGATTACACTGTGATCTTGCAGCTTAAGGTAAGTTTTTTCCATTTTTATAAATCAAAAATAACATTATTTTATAAATGTGTACCTTGCTGATGCAGATACAGCTGCCAGCCACTAGGTGTCACAATGGCGCATTACAGTCTCATTTCAGAGATCACCGGGATAGGTCTTAATGCAGAAAGGTGAGCTGGATTTGTCCTCAGCCCCTCAAGACCCCTGCTTCTGCCCTGTTCGCTTCAGCAGCTTAGTGATCTCTCTCAAACTTTCAGGAAGGGACCCAACAGAGTTCTGTGGGAATATGAACACACAGACTGCTTCACCCAGGAGTATTTGTTGTCCCTCTTACCTGAGGCTGACATTTTTACACTAGGATCTTTTTTCCCCGCCAATCAGTGAAAACCCCTTAGTATATTCTTTCAATTCTTTCCTTTCTTCCCCCTGTTGCTAATGTTTCCTTGGCTTACTTCCACCCTATGACCTCTGGTTTCACGAGAGAACCAGATGCAGATGTGGGAACACTCCCTAAGTTTCCCCGCAGAACCTCTGCAGAGCTGCTGTGGTGAAGCCATTTGTGCTGTTACTATGATACACTTTCTGTGTGGTGCAGAGAGGGGGCAAAGGGAGGAACAGGGTCTTGACCTTGAGAAATGATTCAGAAACTGTGTGTAAGGGACCACGGAAATAAAAAGCATAAACAAAAAAATGAAAAATGTGACCAGGAAAATATTCTGTGAGAAATAAAATAAGATCTAATCAACTCCATTATACATGCTTTCCTTTTGTACTATGTGTGTATGTCAGGGAAACTGCTGGGACCATCTGTTAAATGTTTATTTCCATTATTACTTCTGAGGTGCCAAAAATCCTGTAATGGGAAGAAAGAAGAAAATAGCCTTTAACACTGTTGGAAAATGATCAAGAAAAGAAAAAGCCAGAAGCCAAGTTCAGGCTTAAGTTCTGTCTTCCTTTTTATACCAGAAAGTTCTAGAACATGCAAGTCCACCTTTTCAGGGAATTACTACCTAGGCATATTGTTGATGCCACTTCTTTATGGCTGGGAAGGGGACACTTGGAAGGAAGACATCATGCCATTTGTAAATACTTCTTTGAAAGGACAGAGGAAGTCAAGCAAAGACAGGAAACAAAGCTTCTACTTTCCTTGTTAGCTCTTCTGGAAAAAAGGTTTGAGAAGAAGGATGAAGCCGTCAGCCAAAATAAGATACAAGAGCTTGTCTGTACAATTTGATTATTCATGCTTTCCTTGCCCACAATTAGTCTGGATAATCAAATACTGAGTGACCCAGAAAGACTACAAGACAATGAGGCACTTTCAGGTGGCCTCACATGCTCCTGAGGTTTAATCCTGCTCACTAGCGTCCAAGAAGGGCTTCATCGTGGAAAAACTGAACACGAAAAGAATTGGCATCCCTGAGTGAAACTTGAAAATTTGTGTTCACATTGGATTAAATTTATAAGAGGAAAAATTGGGTTTTTCTGTTCCCTGAGCTATAAGAATTTGGATAGATAAAAAACTGCCAGCAGCTTCAGAGTTAATAACCCTGAATCTTGTTGCCAAAAACTAATTTTAGTTGGTGGAAAGCAAAGTGAGAGTCTACTGATTTGGCCGCAACTTGAAAATGACAAAATGTCATTTTTTCTCCACCTAAATAAAATAGCTTCTACTGAAACATTGTGAATTTCTAGGATATTGAAACTAACATATATGACTTAATTTAAAGACCTTTGGGCACTTCAGTAAATAAATGTTTTGGCTGGAATACAACACAGCAGTTTGGTAGAAAAAAAGTCAACCTGTTTAAGGAAAGGTATAGTGAGATTTCAGTGTTTTACAGAACAAAATTATTTTAGGCTCAGCCTTTGGAAGGGTCATTTTTTGGAGAAGGCAAAGGATTGTGGTGCTTCATATGTACTATCTCCTGTTGTTCTCACAACCCAAGCAGGCAGGTATTTTTATCCATATGTTCTAGATGAGCAGCCGAGGCACAGGAAGATTTCGTAACTTTCCCAGGGTCTGAAAGCTGGTTTTGGAACCAGGGCCTGGATACAGGTGATCCAGCTTCAGAACTGCCTCTATAAAGCATACGGGAAAAGTTTTTCACCTCTGGGGTATTATAAAGATGGTAAAATGCAAGAAAACCTTTAAATTATGGAATTAGAGCTTACCACCCACACAAGAAAATGGAGGTGATAGTTCTAATGATTGAAATAACGCTCTCATCAAAAGTCCATGATACATACATACACTACCAAATGTAAACTAGTTGGCTGGTGGGAAGCAGCTGCATAGCACAGGGAGATCAGCTCGGTGCTTTGCGATGACCTACAAGGGTGGGATAGGGAGGGTGGGAGGGAGGCTCAAGAGGGAGGGGATATGGGGACATGTGTATGCATATGGCTGATTCGCTTTGTTATGCAACAGGAACTAACACAGTATTGTGAAGCAATTATACTCCAATGAAGATATATATATATATATAAAAAGCCCATGATACTATTGATCGTGAATTCCTCTTTTGTGTCAGTGAGATTAATTCTGTACTTGATACAATGTACCTAAGTTTTAAATAGATCACTTTGGCTTTGCAAAGATATGGCTTCTAGTATCATTCTGATTGTACCACCAGGAGATTTCTCATTTCCCCTGTGAAGAAAAGGAAACAGCCAGATTGAATCATAATAATTAATAAACCCCCCTCCACAGCATTGGTTAAGCACTGCTCCACATCCTCTTGCAGTTTGTTTTTTTTTAATCCTTTTACTCTTGACAAAAAAGGATGCTGAGAAGATGAGCAAGGCTTTAATCATTGCTAAATCAAACCAAAGACTGATTTAAACAGTTTCTGGAAATAATGTCCAGGTCATTCCACATCATTGACATTATGAGAAACAGATAGCATTCATGAACTACTGAACGAAAAACAAAAACATAGTTTGAAACAAAAGTGTGCATTTAAGATCATATTGTCCCATTCTATTCCAGTGTCAGAAACTGGCATTCATTTCAGAAATCAACCTAATAGGATTGCAGGGATTTTTCTTGAATACATTAAATCATTCTCAGAAAAGAAAACTACTACTAAAAAAAAAAAAAAATCAACGTGCTTCTCAGTTCTCCCAAAATTTAAGGCAGGGGCTTCCCTGGTGGCGCAGTGGTTGAGAGTCCGCCTGCCGATGCAGGGGACACGGGTTCGTGCCCCGGTCCGGGAAGATCCCACATGCCGCGGAGCGGCTGGACCCGTGAGCCATGGCCGCTGAGCCTGCGCGTCTGGAGCCTGTGCTGCGCAACGGGAGAGGCCACAACAGTTAGAGGCCCGCGTACTGCAAAAACAAACGAACAAACAAAATTTAAGAGCATTCATGATGGCACCCTAAGAATATCTTTTTTTTTTTTTTTTTTTGCCACACCACGTGGTGGCTTGTGGAATCTTCATTCCCCGACAAGGGGTTGAACCCAGGCCCATGGCAGTGAAAGTGCGGAGCCCTAATCACTGGACCATCAGGGAAGTCCCTGTTTTTCGATGTCTTTTTTTTTTTTTACGGCACCCTAAGAATAATATGATGTATTCCTTAAAAATCTTCTCACATACATCAATTTACCAGATCCCCATAACAAGTATATACCAATTTTAAGATTAAGAGATTAAGATTAAGAAACAGATTAAAAAATAGAGGCCTGTACAGATGAGAAAGGTACTCACTGATACTGTAATAAGAGTATCTTTTAAATGTAAACCTAAGTTCCTTAAGAGTTAAACAAATGTCTAATGCCTAATTCACTTACTATTAAAAGTGGAGACCACAGCATGTGCTAGGCAGCACTATAACATGGGGAAGTGGGGACACAGCACCGTTCCATGTCTGTTTAAAGTGTAAATTTCATGGGAATCCTTCAGACAACTATCAGACTTCTATCATCTTTCCTGATAACCAAAAAAGTAAAACAACTCCTTTTAAAGGGAAACCATTTCCTGTGACACCTTATCCTAGAAAACAAACCAAAAAATTGTGAGTAGATATTGAACAACAATGGTACCCACAGGGACTTCCCTGGCGGTGCAATGGTTAAGACTCCGCATTTCCACTGCAGGGGGCACAGGTTGATCCCTGGTTGGGGAACTAAGATCCCACATGCTGAGAGGTACAGCCAAAAAAAAAAATTAGAGATTAAAAAACAAAAAAAGATACCCACAAATAATCTGAAATATCCTATAATACTCTGTACCTTAGAAAGTGACTGCATGTCAAAATGTTCCATTACATAAAGAAGGCTGCCCAACAAGCTTAAAATTCAATAATTTATTGTGTTATCTGTTTTATTGTCAGTTATCAGAATGAAGTATACCAAGAAGTCAATTAACTAAGACTTTATCCTTTAGACAATAATACACTGGTACTTTGGCTGATATCAAAGAATTTGAACTTGTAACGAATTTTATAATAAATTTTTTAAATGATATTTATTAGAAAGAAAGCCAGGATATTAGCAAGTTAACTACAGAAGAGCATATAAATGCTAAAGCTAAAATGAACAGGAATGGTGGTTGCTCAGGGAATAATTTAAATGAAGTGAATTCTGATTTGAAATTTGAAAATGTTGACAAATAGATGGGCAGGATTTAGGAAGCATTTTTAGTAGAACATGATAAGGAAAGACAGGAGGAAAGAAGTGCAAGACAGGTTTGGATGTGTGTTAGGGGAGAAACAGAGATGCATTTGTTTGGAGGTGAAAGTTCTCCAAATCCCCACATGCTTTCATGAGTAAGTGAGTCACTTTACTTTCTCTTCTTTGAAGAGGGTTTGGAGACTATTTATTTCAAGATGTGATGGAAAATTAGAGTGAAAATTAAGTGTCTAGTGAGTTAGGCACGCAAAACCATCACCATTTCCTCTCCATTCTATTCATCACCAAGTCTGCTCATCCTACTATATTCTTGATCTCTGTGAATGGTAAAACCATCCATCTAGTTTACAAACTTGAATCTTTCTCCATGCCCTTCTCATTTAATCTGTCATCAAATCCTATAAAGCTACGTCCTAAGTATTTCTTGAAAATACTTCTTCTGGTTCCACTACTGCAGCTTATACTCTGGCCTCTTAATGGGTCTCAGGTCTGTGAGTCTAATCCCCCCACCCCACCCAGTTGCTAGCATGATCCTTCTAAAATAAAGAGTTAATTATGGTATTCTACTTAAAATTCCTCAGTGATATCTCATAGCTTTCAGAAACATGTAAACTCATGGATCCTGCCTGATTTTCTAGCTTCATCTTCACAACCCCATACATACATGTTTTGTTCCAGGCAAGCTGAGTGATATGTCCCTACTTGCCGCCATGTTGTTTCCTCTGCTCACCAATTCACCTACATGACTGTCACTTGACTTTTAAACTTTGACTCCCACGTGATCAGCTCTTCTAGAATGCCTTCTTTAATCCCTCAGTCTGATATCTATGACTCTCTCCCATCCATAGCCCCAGGTCTAAAACATGATCATGGCCTGAAGCAGACTAGGCAAGAGCCAGCCAGGCAGTTGTCCAGGGCACCAGTGTTCAAAAAGATTTACACGTCGTTAGGAACATTGCAGAGAGAATATAGTGTTTATCAATACCATTGGTGCTCAGAAGGACTACTTCAACAAGGTTCTAGGAATCAGAGGTGAGAAGACCCAAGAACATGCTTGAATAACAATAAAGGATTTCTAAACTGCCTTTCACAGAGGGTGGGTTTGGTTAGTTTCCATGTTTCTGTGTTGCTAGTAAGGTATGCAAGTTAGGAGTCCAAGCTGAGCTGCTTAGGACAGCACAGGAGAGGGAACCTCTGCCAATAGGTGTCCTTCTCTGTCCTTCCCTGCATTGTGCTTGTGGTGGGGGGTCTGTGCAAAAACTGTGGTCTCTCCCCAAAAGGAAAGTGGAACAGATGCTTAAAGAACATCAGTTTGAAGGGGAACCAAATATCTAACTAGCTTTCTCAGGGTCCACCATGTTTCTGGCTGGTTCTGATCATAATATATATCATATGATCTTGTAATAAGTTGAATTACTTGCCTAAGTTCTCCATAAGCTTCCCAAGGACTGAAACTATGATTTTTTGTTTTGTTACAAATCTGAAAAAGGAACATGTTGACTCAAAGTGTGTGATCTGGAAGGATGATGATACAAAGATCAAGAGTTAGCAGTGTATATTTAACACCGTCCAGAGAAGAATGACCTTGAGTCAAACAGGTAAGAATATTCTGTTCACTCAAGAGGTATTCTATACTGTGGGATAACTACAGTTAATTGTGAGTGAAACATCCCTGAAAACTATCCTTCTCTCTTCGGTTTGACTTCATATTTACCAAATAAACTACTATTTCCACAGTATCTTCTTAAAAGGGATGGGGAGTCTTCGGTGGAGAAGACCAAATATGTTGTCACTGGAAAGATATATCAACCATTATAAATCAATAAATGTACATTTTAGTTTATGTTTATTCTTCTATAAGTGTGACTAGTGGAAGATAAAAATCTCTAAATCTGATCAACTTTGTGTACCTGAACAAAATTTAATTTCTGGACTTCTCACTGTGGTGACTGCATCAAGGCATTATGTCCCTTTCTGAGGTCTTGGGAAAATCAAATAATTTATGTGTAATCATTTTCAAAGTTATAAAGCTCCTACATGTAATTTTTTCCTCTTTGATAAGAATGACCTGCATATTTCAAAGGATATTTTAGCTTTGATTGTTTTCTCCTTAAAATTTCATTTCATTTTGGTATGACTTTCGGCCAGTAGAAATTTTATGCTCTTGACCCAATTTCAACTAATATTTTCCTTCTTTCTTTTGCCAGTAAAATATTATTATACTCAACTTTTCTCAAGAGAAAGACGTTCTGTTTCTTCATAGTAGGCTACAACACTGAAGGGAAAAGGGGGTACCTTTTGACTTGACTCTTTTTCTGGAAAGTATACAGAATGCTGTGAATAAATAAGCTTTTCAGATCTTTTAGGATTAAGTTACATTACTTTAATAGAGAAGAACCCTAAACAGATGTGGAATTTACAAGAAATGATGTTTTTTCTGGTAATGACCCATGTTGATTTGGCAGTTGTTTAAATATTATGTCAGCCAATTATATTTAAAATCTCAAACAGATTGGAGAGATAGTCCCAGAAAAAAAGGTAATATTGAGGGCAAGTAAAATTATTTTCTGAAAACTTCTGCTATTTGATTTGAACCTTGTAAAATTCAAGACAAATATGAATAATCTCCAATCTTGTCAAACCAGGATGTCAAATCATTTTAACCAGGCCACTTGATCCAGTAGAAATGCTATTTTCTTGCATATCTTTTCTGTTAGATTAGGAAACTGTGTTGTGCTAAAATGAACAAGTTAACTATCCATTATGCAAAACCCATGGGTTAAATGTTTTGCAATTCCAAAATTTTAAGATTTTAGAAAGGTGAAGTCATGTGTTTGCCATATATTCAGTGTGGTAGTAATAATTGGCTCTCTGAAAAATGTGTGTGTGTATACATAAGTTTACTAGGACTTTTACTGATTAAACAATGTAGAACACAGAATTACAAATAATAATAAAATATACAATACTCTTTCCTGTAACCGTATATAACCAGTCAATTTCCACCGAATGCTTTAACTTATTTTTGCCCAGCTCAAAATGTTTACTCTATATCACTTGGTGCCAATCTCACTAATTTTACTTGTAATCATCACTTAGAACTGTATTAAGCAGGGTTGTTAATTGCAAATAACAGAAGTTACTCCGAACAAGTTTAAGCTTAAATTAAAAGATAATAAATGGACCAAGAATCTCCAGAAAACCAGAGAATCAACTTTAGAGGTTGGCACCAGAAACAATACCCAGGTCACATCATTGAATTGCTTTTGGGGACCACTAAAGTGGCAGTAAAGTCATTAAAAAAGTAAGTCATAAATGGACAAAAATGTCAGATGAAAAGACCAGCAGCAGCACAGAAAGCAAGTGAATGACTCAATGAGAACATGAGATAGTAAGTGCTGCAAACAAAACATACTGAGGGGCTTCCCTGGCACGCCAATGGGTGAGACTTTGCGCTCCCAGTGCAGGGGGCTGGGTTGGACACCTGGTCGGGGAACTAGGTCCCACGTGCCGCAACTAAGAGCTGGCACAGCCTAAATAAATATTTAAAAAAAATATTGAAAACCTAGAAGTTCTCTAATTTTAAAGAAAATGATATACTACAACATGGATTGCAAATCTGGGGTGTGTGCTGTCAAGTATACCCCAAACAGTATTTTTTTACGTGGCTTCAAAAGAAAACCTATTGCTGGGCATATAGTTATAAATTAAAGTTTAATGTTGCCATGAATACAAGCAAGCCTAGTTTAGTCTGAAATAAAGTTGAGTGATTTAAACATCAACGTGCATTGATATTTGTGCCTTAAAGAGTGCCAAAAAGAGTTTTTGTTGTTGTTTAAAAATGTTTTTAACTTCTGTTCAAAATGATTCCTAGCATTTTTTTCTTATTTTAGCATTTCTTTTGAGCGCTGGAATATCTATTTTAAAGTTTCCATTTTTAAAAATGGCAATTTTTAATGGATTGAGAGAAACAGTATTTGCCGTGATTGTTTTTGAAAGTGAGTTGCTATTAAAATCTAACAAAAACTTCAAAGAGAACAATTTTTTACCTTCTAAACTCGATTTTGATGAAAAAATATTTTACAATTTTCATTAACATGTAATTTAAAAATCTCCTTTCTTTTTTCTCAAAAATCTTACAAGTTCACTATATTTTTTGACGTGGTAAAATAATTTCAAAGATAAGGTAGAAATTATAACCATAGCCTAAGAACTGATAATAATTTTTCATATCATAAACAGACCATACATTTTTATTTTAATACAGCCAAGATATGAAATCTATTTTTACAACATTAGAAAGAATCACAAATGTTTGGAAGTCCATTTTCACTAGCCTTCAACACAACTTTACAAAACAGTATACCTATTGGACACAAGAACATATAAATATTAGACAATCTAAATGTCCACTAACTGGTAAATGGATAGATTATGGTATTCATACTATAGGATATTATACAGTAATAAAAATTAATGAACTATGGTTTCACTTATCTGCATGGATGAATTTTAAAGTTTTTAAATAAAACGTCATGGAAGAATATATATAGTATGATTCCATTTACATAAATTTAAAAAGAGGCAAAACTAAACAGTGCAAAATTGTAATACAAACAAGGGAATGATGAAGAGAAAATTTAGGATAGTGGTTACCTCTGAGGGAGAGAAGTAAATGTAATCAAAGAGGAGCCACAGTGGGCGTCACAGATGAGGAATGGTCTATTCATAAAGCAAGGTGTGGGGCACATGGTTGTTTATTATTCCTCCTTAAACTGTAAGTGTACTTTACATACTCTGGAGAAAATGAGAGGTAAGAAAGTGGAGACCATATATGCAGACAACTCTTTTTGAAGGCTTGGTCTTGAATGGAACGTAAAGAAATAAAAGAGTAGATGGGGGGAAATGTGGATGTTTAGAGTTTTGTTTTGCTCTTATGCTTTATAAGATATGAAAACAGAGCATCTGAATGGCATAGAAAGAAAGGTTCCATCAGAGGGGGGAGGTTGAAGAAACAGCAGAGGAGAGAACTGATGAAGCAAGTGATGTGAGCGCCCTGACGGGAACAGAAGCCAAGACACACCTGAAGGAATACCACCCAATTCAACCCAGCAGGAGGCAGGCGCGGAGAGAAACAGGTACAGCAGATTCAGACATTTGGTGGTGGGAAACCATGTCTTCACTGCTGGCTTGTTCCTCTTGACTGAGGCAAGGTTTTTAGCTGAGAGGGAAGGGCTAGAGTTGGTTTTAAGAAAAAGTGAAGGCATGAAGTAAGTTTTGGACAGAGAACAAACCAACCACAGATAAAGGCAAGTACCCTCTTGAACAACTCACCATACCTATTTCCTTTGTCTGCCTAAAATGTATTTCCCCTTCCTTTTCACCTAGAAAATCTTGCCATCCTTCAGGACTTACCTCTGTTTCTATGTCCTCTGTGAAGCCTTTTCTGACTGGTCCGTGGTAATCCTACAGCTCTTGACTGTATCATTTTTCACTTACTCATGACCTAACTTGCAGTAACTCTTCTGTGTTGTATCAATACATGATTTAATTTTACATGTTGTCTCCTTAATTACAGTTCTTGTGGACAAAAATCATGTCTTTTTTTTTAAATAGATTTATTTTATTTATTCATTTTTGGCTGTGTTAGGTCTTTGTTGCGCGGGCTTTCTCTAGTTGCGGCGAGTGGAGGCTACTCTTCGTTGCGGTGCACAGGCTTTTCATTGCAGTGGCTTCTCTTGTGGAGCACGGGTTCTAGGCGCACGGGCTTCAGCAGTTGTGGCTCGCGGGCTCAGTAGTTTTGGCTCGCGGGCTCTAGAACGCAGGCTCAGTAGTTGTGGCGTACGGGCTTAGTTGCTCCGCAGCATGTGGGATCTTCCCGGAACAGGGCTCGAACCCATGTCCCCTGCATTGGCAGGTGGATTCTTAACCACTGTGCCACCAGGGAAGCCCCATGTCATTTTTTTTTAAACACTGTCCCTCCCACTTTCAGAAAAATGTGCATTCTCATACACACAGGAAAATTTACATGCGTTTTCTAAACATATAATTTACTGAAACAAATATCCTTATAAGCAAATGATAAAATAACTAAGACCTACGTGAATAAGTAAACTTTGAATCTTCCATTATTTTCTTGTAACGGCTCTTAGTTTTCAAGTTTTGGTTTTAAAATGTACATTTTAGAAGCCATAGATCCAAAGTTAACATAATTAGTTTAATTTTTAAAATTTTTAAACAGATTGCTTCGGCTCATTGAACGATTACAATTTTTTCTTGACAACTTATAATATGTTTATGGAGGTAGTTTTCCCAGAAAATGAAGCAGAATGTTATCAGCAAAGACAAATTATGTTAGGAATGCCATCTTGTGGTTGAGAGTAGTCCATTACACTAATAGGTCCTTTCACTGATAATCTTTAATTCAGAAATAAAACATCCAGGAAATTCACAAATGTAAATCACGTTTATAATGTATTGTTACTACAAAGAAGGAAAAACTAAATATGTGCATCAACTGTATGTGATTTTAGTTACCAAAAAAGACAATGTTCATTGAAAAGAGAGACCATAGACAAATTATGTAGGAACGGAGTCCAAATAATACAGGAAAACTGGTAGAACTAGAAACATACTTCCATGAAGACTATTCAAATACTCTGAATTTTGGAAAGCTTTTCTCTT